TTCTTGATACCTCACAAGTAGCTTTATACCCTATTGCATTCTTTCTGTCTGCTCTCCACCCCTTGATCCTGAGCTTTTCCGTGCCCTTCTCTCTAAGCATCATCGTTTTCCTCTGTACTGCCTCCTTCTATAACACTAAATTCCCTTCCACATTCCAAAACCTCTTCCACTTCACTTTCTACTAATTACCTTTGTTATTTTCCATTTGCCTCATCTTTCTGCATTGGTTTCTCTCAGTTCTTTCTTCTGTGACATTTTCTACCTCTGGACCTTCAGTCATCCTTGTTAATCATCTCCTTTTGTCTGTAATCTATCATCTTATATGCCCTTGTGCCCTTCCCTTTAAACCCCCACCCCCTTCTTTTCCCCTTCCCATTCCATTCAGCTCCTCTTCTTGTGCCCTTCTGTTCACTTTTTAGTTACATGTGCTTTTTGTTTGGCATATCCCATTTCAGTCTTGGCAGAGGTTTACTCCTCCTGGAGAGCAAGTAGCAAAACCTCAGTTGCCAGTTAGAATTGATGGGGTGGTTTAAAAGGACATCAGTGGTTCAGTGCTTAGGCCGACTCTGGATACCTGCTTCAAAACAGTGCAAGAGACAAGACTAGAGAAGAAAAAATAAACTGTGAAGATGAAGTATAAGCATTTCTGCAGAAAAACAATGCTGTACTGTACATCGATGACATCGTGATGGCCTTCTCACCCGGTCATTTCCCTGTACTGATGGGTCTTGCCTTTGGCTTCTTCCACATCATTAGCAGCTGCCCAGTGTTTACCAGCATTCAACCAAGACTTAACTAGCTCATTTAGGTGAACCTGATAGAGTATATGATTAACACTATCCTATTACAAAAGAACAGCTTGTAGGCTAAAGTCTGTGTTGCTCTGCTTCCACAAGCTGGCAGGGCCAAGCTTAACAAGTCATTTTCTGTGTTCTGTGAAACATTATGGCTGCAAATGGTAACATCTCCCAAGAGAGACTTCTTTTTTTTGTAGTATTTGCATCTAAGCACATTTGTGGTTGATATTGTTGTTATATGGGGCTGTTTTATGTCTCTGTAATTTGTGGAAATCTCGTGGAGTGCAATACAGCACCTCAGGGAAACTGGACCATCATGCATCAAGGCTGAAATGAACAAAGCAAAGTTCTGGTGTTCAGTTTGGGACTGAAGGTCAAGAACAGAAAGCACAGGAAGTCAGGTGTGTTTGACAGGTGTAATAACGTCTCACATTTCAGAACTGTTGTTTGTCTTTGGTGAAGCAATTTTTTTAGTAACACAAGCAAGGACTTTGCGATGCTTTTGTTGATTTCAAATGTGTCTAAAAAGTAAATCAAGAGGATATATACTGTGTACATGCATTCGAGGCAGAAAAGTGTCCGCATGAACGAGGAGGAGAACCAGGCACAAAGAATGAGGAAAAGACGTTTCTCCCTGTTCTTCTGCCAGCAAGAAGCAGCTTTATTACATAACAGTCTCAGGGTTTGCCAGCTCACATGCTTTTAAGGAAGAAGCACACGTTCCCTTGCACCTGAAGTTTCACCGCATGGTGGGAAGAGACACGGATGAGTTGGAGACTTGATAGTAGAGTACAGATGTAAATACAGATGTTGGACTGGTTTGTATGGTGGTCACTGCCCCCAATAATATTAATAATAATAAAGTTTTACTTTTTTTATGAATGCTCTATTGGCTGGATGTTTTCAGTTAGGAGTGCAAAGGAAATAACATATTTAACAATAAATGGCTGTAACAGAAGAACCACAGAAGGGCTTTATAAAGTTAGAAATAATAAATCAACATCCAGAGCTTTGCAAATTCACTGTTTAACGACAGTCATTTTTGGAACTACCTACAAAAACACATCAAAAGAAAGTGAATTATATTAATGCCACTGAATTACCATCAAATAAAAATGCCAACATACTCAAAACGACATGAGGTTAAGCAGATACAACGTTTAGCATGTTCACCATTAAACAGTAGTTTAGCGTATTATCATTTACTAATAACTAATACACAAAGTACAGCAGAGGCTGATGGGAATTCTTTGATTGTGCAAATGCTTAGTTATAAAACCAGTGATGGCACATGTAAGAAGTTAAGGGCTCACCAAAGTGATTATAGTTCATAAAAGTGGCATACACCTCATGACATTCCGTAATCATCAAGTAGATCAATAATAATCCATCACATAGATGCTGAAATGTTTCACTGGATCAGTCAAACCTGCTTGTGGCACTAGAGGGAAAGACAAGTCAGAGGTTTCATCCTCCGAGCACTAAATTTTGTCAAAAATTTAATGGCAACCCCTTTAGCAGTTGTTGAGACTGACTAACAGATATTCCGTCCCTAGAGCCAGAAGGAACAGCAAACAAATAAACAAATGAACAAAAAAAGTTTAAATAAAAATTTGATAAAACATTTGCAGCATTAAATAGATTATGCATTTGGAAAGGCCCAGTTTACAAAGGAGTTTCATCCTGTTCAATTACTCACCACTTAGCATGTGAATCTTAGGCTTCATGTTCATTATGGGTCCCAGTCAACATCTATAAAATCTGCCTTGGTATGTTAAAGGCCCCTGAATCATTCAGTCAGGGTTCTTTCTGTTTTTATTACTTATTCTGCTATTGCCTGTTAACATAGCCAGGATATTTACTCAACATTTCTTTATAAAATTCATTCACTTTATACATTGTGCATCATAAAACACAAAAGTGACACATTCTAAAAATGCCACAAACATAAAATCCCCACTTTTTAACTCCTTGTGATGTAAAACAGAGGTCCAATAGAGATCTCTCTCAGTCTTTGTCTGGTAATCCATAGCAGAAGGACAGAGGTATAGCCACAACTTTCACTTGTTTTCTTTTTATTTAAAGACTAATGCAGTGAATCAGATTCTACAGGGCCATATCATAACCAAAAGAAATAAAAGAAAACATTTACAGAAGGTCCACCATTGAATCTACATCCATCAGAACCCTTGTCAGTATCACTGAACTGTCAAAACATTCCTGTGTACTGTATGTGTGTTTGTGTGCAGTCATGTATGTCAATGTCCATATGTATATGGTCTCACTATCTTACCCTAATTGACCTTTGTGCTTTAGAAAAGTTTTTTTTTTATTTTTTACATTTCAGTGAAAACCAAAACATAGTTTGCTTGATAAAAATACAAGAAAAAAACTCCAGTAGGTATGTAGGAACAACCAAAGATGTTGAAAAGCAAGTGCTGCTGAGAACTGCAAAAGACCGTGCATCAAACAGAATAAAATAGATACTGATGAACTTACCGATGTGATATTTACATGTGTGCTCTGTGTATGTGAAGGTAAATATTGGATGCTCATGATTGCACTGTGCCTCATACAGTATGTCACATTCTCTCTTTGGAGCATTAAATGTAGCAAAACCAGACCAGGCTCTACAATATTTCTAATATTTTTGATGTTTGATACTGCTTGTAGTATAAGATAGGGCCTTATCAAATATATCCCCAACAGAAAGTGCACACAATTCACTTTTCTCTTGTCAAAGTCAAAACTCTTTGGCACTCCCTGTAATATTACTGAGGTTTGGAAAGGAAAATAAGCAAAATGATCTATATAGCAAAAAAATATAACATTTCCCACCATTGTCGTAATGGCAAAGCTCAAAGAATGAACAGAAATACGATTAAAAAGGTGATCTTTTTACAGTACGGTTTTTCAGTTCAGTCGTATATTGCATGGTTCTAGAGAAAAAGCACAATCAACAATGAAAGCCCACATTCTCTTCAACCACCGACAAATCCAAAGCGCAGACAAGAGAGATAATTTAATGTTTTCTTAGTTGTCACCCTGTGTAGCCATGGTGGGGAATATAGCTAATGGGTGCACAGCTGATATAACAACTAAGCATGTTTATTTGTTATTGTTAATAATAGTTTGTAAATTGGAAACACAATGATCAGGGAAAGAAGATCAGTGATGTGGTTCAAAACTGTCCTTGCATAGCACAATGCTGACTACATGAATTTTATTATTGTTACTCTAAATGTGCAAAATGCATAACAATAGGTTGATAATACAAACAATATTCAACATTTTAGCTAATATCTTCATTAATAGAATCAAATACTCTATGCCTTATGTATTTATATATATATATATATATCTATATATATGTGTGTGTGTGTGTGTGTGTGTGCTTTATGATAATAATAAATACTTCAGAATTCAGATACCTTTATATACTGTAACTCTTCACCCTGAAACTTGCCGTTCCTTGACCCTCTGCTTGTAGGTTAAGTGGCTGTGAGCAGGAGACTCTTGCTTATGATTGCAAAAGCATCTGACATAAGGGGATCGTTTCACCATTGCTCATAATGATGATGCAAATAATAGCAGCAACAACTCAATTCATCTTTGTTTCCCTCCAGTGATAGTGTGGTCTTTTCACACAAACACAGGGAATTCTGCAGGGTTCTTATATGCCTCTTGGCCTGTTCAGTGCCCTGTAAAACATATTGGGAAAACAAAGCACACCCAGAGCCTATAATGCAATGCTCCCTCACTTTCTGACAAGAAATGCAAATATTCTGTGAAACCAAAGGGTTCAGAACCCCAGACGGACACATGATGTGCTGTTATCTTTGAGCAAAGCTAAATAAGGTTTCTATATACAGCATACAGATGAAACTCTACACGTTGGAGGGGACAATGTAAAGCTACAGTGGATATCACCCTCAGACTGAGTGTCAGATTCAGGTCCTAAGAAAAGCCCTTGCTAATTAATATTGCTACATTAACATAATTTAAAATGGACTGTTTGGATCCTTAACATGAGAGAAGAAGCATTTCCCTCAAGTGTGTGTTTTTTCTGAGTGAAATGGAAAAAGAGCAAGCAATGTTAAAGGCAAACACAAAAGCATTCTTTTCATATTTGCTTTAGTTTCTGTTAGTTGTTATCGGAA